CCGTCGCTTTGGAAGAAACGACCTAAGAATGAACCTCTGGTAGATGTCTACTCCCTGAACGAGAACATGACGCAAGCGAAAAGCGCCAGCGGAGCTCTGGTATGTGTATGTGCGCGTGTGTGTGCGTGTGTGTGTGTGTGCGCGCGTGTGTTTGTTGCTTTGCCCTTATATATATGCACGTAAGCGCATCTAATCAGGATAGTTCAACTGTTGCCTTAATTATTACCTCGGGCATGTTGTATTTTCCGCTTTTCTCTATAAAGCGCTTGAATGCATTGGATCCGTGCAGTTTTGCCAACTCTTGGTTCTGCAAAAAATGCATCGCCAAATAAACCAAAGAACACGGCAATGATTACCTACATATAGGCGCACACGCGCGCACGCATGCACCTACGCATACAGGCAGGCAGGCCGGCACACATACCACACAAACACGCAGGCATGCAGGCACACGCATACAAACACACATGTACGTGCGCCCGCATACACATACCAAGACAAGACACACACGCACGCACGCACGCACGCACGCACACGCACGCACGCACACACACACACGCACACACGCACACACACGCACACATACACATACCAGCGCTCCGCTGGCGCTTTTCGCTTGCGTCATGTTCTCGTTCAGGGAGTAGACATCTACCAGAGGTTCATTCTTAGGTCGTTTCTTCCAAAGCGACGGCTTTAGGTACCAGCTGCCGTAGTTGTAGCGCGACCATCCTACCGTCGGTTTACCTGCCGCCTGCATAGTGGTAAACGCCGGGAGCATGCAGGGTAAGTACCCACGCAACAAATCAACGCGGGTGTTAGACATCTGTCTGTAGGTAACACCATCTTCGTGACATCTACACGATGAAATATTCGGAATGCTGCGTGTGCAACTAGTAACGAGAAGCAGTAGAAAATATGTATTGAAATTTTGCTGCCATCTACACGCCGAATCAAATAATGGCCTCGACACGCGAAATAAATAACGTTTAACGCGTAAATCTGTACAATTTACTTTATTGGTGTCCTGTATGCCAGCTAAGATTACACACCTGTGTTGGTCTACTGTTCGCGCTAAGGACTTTAGCTTGGTCTATGACTACTGTGACATGCCAGCCTCCGCCTTCAGCTCAGACGGCACGCTGTTAGTCGACACTACGTGGATGGGGAACGTCATCGCAGGCTTGTTGTCCAGCTCTCCCGTGAACAGGTTGAGTACGGCCGGCTCCTCAACGGAATAGCTGCCCGGTCCCACGTCCCTTACCAGCTCGTAAAACTTCCGCGCTAACCTGCGCATCTGCTCGTTCTGTCAATTACCGATGGCAGCAAGGTTTGCACGGGGTATAGGGTGATCGCAATCCTTCCGTCCCCACATTCTTCACGCAACAAGCTCGCTCACGCACGCACACACGCACGCACGCACGCACGCACGCAAACCACACCACACACACACACAACACACCACACAGCACACAACACATGCATTGCAACACACACACACCACACGCACGCATGCACGCTACAGTAACGCACGGAAACGCCTATAACATCGATGCGAGCATGTATCGTAGGAATAGTACGATGGATTACCACCAGATTTGCGCGGCAGCGATGTACTCGTTTTATATACTTATATATATATATATATATATATATATGTACTTTATATTATATACCTTATACCTTATAATGTTCACCATAGTGCGTGCGTGAATGTGTATGCGTACAGGTGTGTGCGTGTACGAGCATGTGTGTGCGTGTACGTGCATGTGTGTGCGTGTACGAGCATGTGTGTGCGTGTACGTGCGTGTACGTGCATGTGTGTGCGTGTACGTGCATGTGTGTGCGTGTACGTGCATGTGTGTGCGTGTACGTGCATGTGTGTGCGTGTTCGTGCATGTCCATGCGTGTGCGAGTGTGCATGTGTGCCTGAATGAACGGGCGTGAGCACGAACGTGGGCGTGTGCGTACATAGATATGAGAAAATGATCGGGCATGAGTAGTTCGCGATATACTACCGATGGGAGCCCGTTTTCAGGCACCCACCTGTTGTCCGACATCAGATGCACTCACTCCTCCTGCTCCATCCGACGTGCTCTTTGGAAGAACGTATGAGCAACGCGGTCGCTTCTCATCCGTACTAGAGCGTAACAATAGAAATATATATGGACACCTATATGGATATAAAAAATATATATATAGAGTCTACCATAATTTCTATGGGCGTAACAGTTAGTGGCCCCAATTGTAAACGAAAACGTAGTTTTCAGTGAGACCAACACATGCTAATAGGAATTAATACGAGCGTTACGTACTTGCTAATATTATTATTTTAATTATAATTTGAAATGAATTTAATATCCACACACACTGCTATCACGACTGTAGATTTAGAGAATTGAATTTTTTCGAATTAGAATAATTGTTATAAGGCTTGGGCTTGTCCTAGTTGTTTTTATTTTTTTAATAGTACTAACAAAATACATGTTAAGTTTAACATAACCTAAGTTTAACCAGTAAGAGCTAGCTGTTAATTTTAGTATTGATGAAGCAGAGATTAACAAATATTTACGCTGTGCCTTGAGATTTGGCCAATGATGAGGTAAGCAGCGGTTTTCTGATTGAAGATTGGTTGATGGTTGCTTCTACATTCTTCTCTGCCATTAGCACCTCAGCCTTCTGCTTGTTCATAGATGGATCCAGAAGGTTGACTACATCTTCAAAAACCTAGTTATTTGACGCGCGAAATGTATGGTCTCGTTATGACACCAGGATACCTGCCCTGCGACACGAGATTACAAGCAATTCAGTTAGCTATGCCATAAGTAGGTTCATGGTTTGTTTCTAGGTTAAATGTATTTTGACTATGCTTTAGTTGGGAGCACATGTTTTATGCTGGGGGGTAGTGGTGGTCCAGTGGATATCGCGTTTACTGAAAGGTCAGAAAGACTGAGGCACCGTCAACGCACATTACTACAACATCTTACTACGTACTAGTATTGCATATCTTTTCGATGTACATGTCAGTAATAGCATGACTATAATATAATCTATACTATTGTACACAATGAATTTAAAATATTGTATAAAGTTCTATGTTCATGATTATCGTTACCCGCGGTTCCACTGCCTGAACAAGCTGTGGATACAGTGCGAGGGGGTGGCTCAGCAAAGCTTCCTCCAAGCCCTCAATCCGATTCCTTCTCTTATGCTGGTTAGGTGTGCACTTGGCAAAGCATTTGTCATATTTGCTCAACTGCTTTTTAGACTTCAGTGGAAGTGGAAGAGGAGGGAAAACATCCGACATGCCAGGGACTGTTCTAGAGCCGACACGTACCTGCAGTAATTATGTGCAACCAAGCATTTGCATTCACAGTATAGATCGAAGGATTTACCTGCAGAACCTGCCAATCCGTAAATGTAAATACGTAGGTGTAATTTCAGAAATGCGATATACGGACCTTGCGCAGTACACCAGCATTTTCATCTGGAGGTAACCCGTCTCGAAAATCATCCAAACCTCCAACAAGAAAAGACCAGTGCGTTCCAAGAATGCAAGCATTTTTGCGTGGCCCTGCTCCTACCCTACTTAGTTTTGTCAACTCTGTTTGCAATCTTTCCCTATACCTGTAACCAGAATAGGCCCGATAAATATCAAATTTTAAGTTGTAATCCACTTGTAGTAGAAGAAATCACGTTGTAATATTGTCATTGTTGCTGAAAACGCTAGCATGAATTGATGTTCCACCTAGATACAGACCGCTATGTCCGCATCTTCATTTTATTGCTTTTCATTAGTTCTTTATGTAGCATATAGTAGCTTGCTTGTATCTATATCAACAATGACACGATGACGCTTAATTACTTGTGCCGCGCATAAAATGGGTGTGCTAAATCTGCTAATGGCAATGCCATTACAGATAACTAGCGCATATATACTGATATATCTTTATAATATATCGAGATTGCTCAAATATTAATATTTAATTACCATGGTTGTCTTCGTGTTTTGTTGTTGTTAATTGTCGGAACAAGGCACAGGTCATATTTGTTTTGTGCCATTCCATAAAAATTTCTAGGCGCTTCAACATAGACTGCCCAGAAACATTACAGATCACGATGACCAGGCACGACAGGAATGTGCCCAGGGAAAACAAACACGCGTCGAAAAAGTAACGCTTACGCTAAGCATATGTAGTTACTGTGTTCACATTCAACAACATCTCATCGCTGTTTAAAAATACAAATATCTTAAACGTCAATTAGTCTAGTTAATTGTTTAGATGAGAATTAATAAAAAGGAGCGTTTACAGATAAGAAGACGATTTCATAAATGATCATAATCCGCTGCAAGTGACCATGACAATATTTCCCAGAATGCCTTGTAAATATGTCCGCGCACAGTTTCTTTTTCTACTGAGCATATCGCCATCACTGTGATGTGATCGCCATACGCCTGGAGAATTTTACGTTTTAGGTCGTGTAACAAACACTTAATTCGTCCTTTGAAAACAAATAATATTTTCGGCGTTTTCTAATATACTGCACGTGCACTGGCGAGTGACAGTGACCTCATAATCATTATGATTATGATTACAAATCAGATTGCCTGATTGGTCTTCGAAGTTTATGGCAAGACTAAACAGATCTAAAGAGATCTGGCTAGACTGCATTGACGATTGTGTATCGAAGACGAACACGGAACGAGCCGCGTGACGCTGATAGGGTCCAGGCGCGGATTTAGGCCGGTTTGCACCAGTTTCCAAAAACCGGTCACAGGCTGGGTATCTTCAGAATTGACCCTCAATATTCACCAGAATGCACCAAATATAGCCTAATTTTTTTTAAATTACCGGGGGGCATGCCCTTGGACCCCCCTAGCTCAGTAGCTGAGACTAGAACTATGGAAACTGGTCACCCAAACCCTCTGGATCCGCCCCTGTCTATGTCCCCCAGGGTACTGCCGGAACGTATACCCTGGTATTAAAATTAATACTATCTAATATGCCGGACCGTACCTCGCCTACTCCACTAACGAGTCTAGGGAGTCGCCTACGCCTGAGAACAATATATACAATGTATATATTGTTCTCAGGCCTACGCCTACTCCCTAACTCTAACCATGCCCCTAACCCTAACCATATCAGCTGGATAGTTACCAGGGTACGTTCCGGGATACCGGACCGTACCCAGGGTACGTTCCGGCAGTACCCTGGGGGACATAGACCCTATGAGCCCAAGGGACAGCGTCACACTCATGATAGCTATAGTCATAGTGGCCCTGAGAATACGAACCGTTGAACATATTCTACGTGTTCTATCATCTATGTAGGAATGACTAACGTGTAATAAGATGTGTAAATAATATGATGATATATTAATTATTATGTTCCAAATCCTAGACAGTGACATAGCTAACACACTTAGTTACACAGGCACCACAGGCATCATCAACCAATAAACCATAGTCATGGAGGCAACGAACCAGAGCTTGCTGTATCAGCTAGCCTTTCTCTCCCACCTGGACAAAACGAGCGCACTTGAAAGTATAAAGACTCAGTGCAAACAATATGTGGATAAGAGTTCAAAAGAGGTGCTGATCGTACAAATAGTAATACAGTCATATCTGCTTGTACAACTTTGTTTTGTGCATAATTCCCACTCACTAACACATTTGTGTAATTCAAATATGATCTATGATATCTCATTATACACCCATATAATCAGCATTCAGACATGTTTGGCGTTTGTAATACTTTTCATGTTTAAAATGACAGGAAACCTCCGTGTACAGATTCGTGGTTGAAGTTTCCCCATCTGATTTAATGGACGAATGTGGTAATTAGGAATTATTTTTTGCACAATATCTATATATCAATGTTAAAAATCGAATCCAACAAATACATCTTGTGTTAGTAGCAAATGCCAGATATATAAATTAAAAAGCACTAATGATTCAATATCACCTCTTCAGCTGGACTGTGTAACAAGCTGCTCAATGAACCACTGAAGATGGTGAATCTATTTCAAGAGGTATTATATTATATAGTGTAGTCATCTTACATCTGGTAATTTTTGCAACAAATGACCTATCCACCATGCCATGGAAATGATTTTACAGAAAATTCATTGTGATTTGTATAGTGTGTAGATAGAAAACCAGCATGTTTTGCTATGCCAAGATTAGATTGTGCCTTGCTAACTGCACTTTCGCTAATTGCTTCAACAGGTTCCTTAAGCTCCTACCTTTTTATTTACAAACAAATTTCTGTCTGAATCATGAAATGCATGTGATTTTTGTAGAAAAAGTCCCGAAAGTGCCACATACAGCAGTTATTTTGCATTGCGATAAATAAATAAATTAATAGTCATTAATAAATAACAATGTAATTATTTGGTAATGAATAAACGAGCTTCACTTGTTTAATGATGAAGGGAGTAGTAACTGAATACAGAAGTAGAGAAGTAACTGAATACGATCTGGTGCTAAAATAAATGGTGTTTTTTTTACCAATGTTAAATGTATTTGCATAGGTTGTGCACAGCATTGTGTCTGCGTTGGAGTTGCTACCATCCTTGGTGTCTTGCTGTCAGCTGATGATAGTTGTTAGACTTGTAAGTCTTCCCAAATTCCCGAGGTGAGTGCCTTCTATCAACTCGTCTACACAATAGCCTCACATACTAAATATACTACAGAGAATAATCGTCTCATCTTTACATTGCATTGTATATCATAATTTTAATAAAAGCATAAAAACACAGTGATGTTTGTAAAGTAGTCGTGCTTCTACACACACTTAGTGTTATTACTATGGGATATTTCATTCTAGTTATTGCATACGTTATGTCAGCAACTTGCCTGCAGCATGTCGAGCACTCGGGTTCTGCCGGTATGAAGGCATTGTATGCAGTCTAACAACTATCAGCAAATATACGTATGTATAGCAAGCTCGCTTTATCTCTTGTGGCTTTTCTCGACGTAAAAATCATTTGTTAAATATGAAATAAGGAATGAACAATTTCATGATGGTTTCAATGTAATCTATTATATATATCACAGATCCCAATTGCCATTAGTAACTTCTATCACAAGCATAATTTTTTTTATAGAATATGAATGATTCCTATCAATATTGTATACATAATTTCATTAAAGATATTACAAAAAGAAGAGATGGCAGGTTCAAACCAGTTACACTTTGTACAAAGCTCCGTTCCGGGCTTGTTTTTTCTTAAATAATACTAACATTCTCATAAATTTTTATTCCAGACAAAGTGCTCAATATCACTGTCCAGTCAGGAGTTGCTATGGTAACAGTGGTAACTCATTCATCAGGTTTCACACTGCAGGAGCTAGAGAGAAACAAACTGTCAGGTGCAAAAAACTTGTAATACTATATTAGTTGATGGACGTACATATAAATTTTCATAATTGTCACACTGCAGGAACCTAAAGAGGATAATGTTGACCAAATATCTATCAATATGGTTGTGAACATTAGCTAAAAACATATTTATACAGCATCTGCTGCATGAGCAATAGTCGCTGCTACCGAATGAAAGGACTTCGCTGATTTAAATGAATTCTACAGAAACGTGCTATATAGTGACGTGTTAATATATAGTGCACAATTAACTGCTAAAAGCAGATTATTTTAAAAACCAACAACAACTAATGGCAGGGGTATAGTTGTCAATGAAAACATTCTGGCTTTAGTGAGAATGAAAACGATGCAGTTAGCCTACCATTAGAGAAGCAATATATATTCTACTGTTTTAACAAGAGATAATGACGATTGGTTGCAGAAATGACTTCATCTGTCCACACTGTGGAGCGGAACTTCTGGAAGACGTTCACTGCAGAATCCTGGCTGGTGAGCAATACACCTCTCAAGTAACGCGGTATAATATGCAGCTGTTATGATCAGGACGACAATAAAAACTTCGATATAGGTGTTTTGTAACAGTAGATGGTGTTCATAGGCAGCAGGCGTGAATAAGCGTATGGCACAAAAATTAATTAAAAATATTAATTAATATTCTACACATACACAACATGCATTTTATTTATGCTAAATAACCAAAGTTTCAAGGTATTAACTGTGCCTGAAATCTGCCAGCTAAATGATGCAAGTGGTCTGATCACATTTTACAAAAAAACAAACATCAGACCGGTCACCATGGCTGAGTCACTTGATGGAGTGGCACAATTTTTCATCAAGTCCAATATTTCCATGCTTTCTAGACGTCCTTAGGCCATCTAACTTACGTGTATAATGCAGGGTAGTGCACTCTAGTGCCGAAAATTATCGCAAAAAAAAACTTTTTTTGCGATAATGCAATGGTAATCAATCTGCAGAAGGCTACTATAGTGAGCCCCCTATAGTGAGACATTTTAACATGAACGCAGGAGCCATGAACAAGTGTAGACAGGAACCAATTCAGTAAAAAACACGGATATAGCCTTGATGTCAACTATATTGTGTGTATTGCTTGCAGACAAGGTTGTGGCAAATGTAGTGAGCTTGGAAGCTTTGTCACCTGGTGTAACGAACAGAAGATTTCAGTCAATACCCATCTACGTGAGAGGTATCTGCAGCAAACATGAAAGCAAGCAAGTCTACGAACACGTGAAGATTGTTGTTATGTAATTAGTAGTAGGTTAGAATTCCACTCATTAGTTAAGATTAAAGCTACACCATTGGAGGAATTTGTGGCAGAAGGGTATCACCAAAGACATCAATCACATGACATGTCCTGGGTTTGTATCTACAGATGAACTGGTTGCCATGGTGACGCTCGGTGGTTCCTTCGTCGTGCTGGGCATTCCCGTGTATGACCACCAGGAATCAAACCTGGGACTCGCTATCGAAGTAAGACATCGTCCAAAGTCATGTTTGAAGAACTATATATATATACATATATATATGTAATCATAAATCTGTCACGGACTTCCCCCAACTATCCTCTATTTCATTATCTCTAGCAATTGTTCTTACCACAAATCACCTTCTGTAAGACAACTAGCTGGCGCTGCGTGGTTGTCACGTGCAGTAACAATTGGTTGCATTATAATTCTGTTAAAGGCAAACAACATCTTGCCAGTAACATCGCATTACACCGATCCTGTTCCGGTCCTGCTTCCCGACTCTATCCAGAGACTACTAATAGGTAAATGATGCTCAATGCCAGCTCACCCCGTTTTTACTCAAGGTCAACTAAAAGATGATTGACAGCCGTAATAGAACAGAACATACAATGGATGTTTTTCTAATTGGCTCGTGACTATGACGTTATGGAGTGAATGTTACTGTGTGAGAAATGCAGCAAACTTGTACATAATTGGCATCCCCCCTTTGGCAGTCAATACAGGTGTTTGAGAGATTAGTGATGCAAGCATTTAAAATTGGATTCTAAGTTTTGCGACAGCGGTATTAGGCTATTTGATAATACAGTGCGGCCCCATTATTATGCGATCGTTGGGGTCCATAAAATGTCATTGCGAACAAAATGGGTTCACGCTAAATCGGGGTTCAAGAAAATCAGCATATAAACTAACCCCCCACAGCAACAATTCATGTAAACTCATTTAGTTGCGCAATCTATAGGCGATCGTCACTTCGACCTAAGGCAGGCTTAACTCAGCAAAAAACGTTTCAGTTCCGGAAAGAGCAAAAAAACGTCCAATGATTCATCGCATTATATCCGAATTTGCGTTAAATCGGGGTTTCACTGTATTATGTACTTGCCAATCAACAATTAAATAATCACAGTTTATTCATCTGGCTACAAACGCATTGATAAAATATGGTGATACAAAAAATAAGCAAATTAGGATCTTGCCTATTTTTCATGATACCTATCTAAACATCTCCCTGCGTGTTCAGACAGGCATGCGTCACCATGGAGCATAGCAGTGAGTCTTGCTTACATCTTTGCCTCAGAAGTGTGCCCTCCCCCCTGCTTCTTCAGACTCAAGCTGGGATTACTACTCGTCCTAATGACAACAGGAGAGCTGAAAGTTAATAGTTGCTTCATTTTGAAGTCACATTTCGTCATATATATATACTTGCCAACATTAGTTGTGAATTGCATGTAAAATTATGAATTGACACTAAGGTCAGGTGATAAATGGCATCGTAACATTTTGGTGCGCGAGTCAAACATTGTCACAGCAACACAGCAAGTTGATAACGAAGGTGCTATAAATGCACGTGAAATATGTTTATATTTTAGAAAGAAGGAAAGATACCACTGAGCATCCTAGCTGTTGGCGTTAACGACACGATCATACACCGGTTACTGGTGTATGCTGCAAGCTTCACAGACCGCACTGTTCACCACACGCAAGTCTTTCCCTCCCGTGTTACACCTACACCTCAAGCAATTCCACCTCATGCGTAGCTAACCCTATATACTACTCTCCATAACCGGGAGAACCATTGGCAAATGAAACAAGCCAATCTAGCACCGTGCCGTATTGCGCAATATTCCAATCTAAACAATTTTTCATTAATAAAGTCTGAATACGAATTCCACCAGTGACGCAGCTGTAGGGAATATCTTATGAGGAATATATCGCTAGTCATTCATCGAACGATGCGCTGTGTTACAGCACTAGGAGCAATCTGGTGGCCTCTGTAAGCAAGGACCCACATGGCACAAGCACGCACTGCGTGGAAGCAGGAAGCCTGCTACTGGCACAGGGAGGAATATGCGTTCTGGGAGACATCGCACACCTAAAGAGAGAGAAGGACGTGCTCAGGCAAGGTGAGGAAATTTCTCTGACATCACGATCCGGTTATAATTTCTGGAAGCAGTTTCATTTTACAATATGTGAAAAGGACATTTTCTAGCTGTATTGTCCGTTTTCTGTTGATAAAAATATGATTTAATCCAGAGGGGAGAGTTCAGGGTGGGTTAAGAATACAATATGAGGGGGGCTTTTACATTTTAGTGCTGGAAAGTGGAAAGCTTACTGTTACGATCCCCCCGAAGTACAGCGAGGGTCTCCCCCAGCATGTGCCACACCCTCTACAGTGCTGTATATGGGCACAGAACGACCCCACCTTCGCTAAGAAAACACCAGCGCAGCCTGGTGGCGACCTGTTCACTCACAACTATGTTGGGGAGGAGGTAAAGACACTGGCAGAGTAAGTGATGCAGTGCAGAAGTACACTCAGGGTTCTCCAAGAGCACTCGTCGAGCCCCGCCATCCTAAAATGCACCCGCCACTCTAAATGCTAAAACTAGGACCATAAAGGCAGCCCCGCCATGCTATAATGAAGAAGCTTGGAGAACCCTGACACTACAGTACATGTAATATAAACAAATTACAATGTAAAACATGATAGCGATGTCATTCATTCCCAGCTTGCTGCTCATAATGATATAATATCATATAATATCATAATGAATTCCGTTTTGTAGTTGCTTTGGAATGGTGTTCTTCACGGATAGTGTTGATCAAGCGGCAGATGCCTACGCCGAACAGCTGCTCATCCACCAAACACTTTCTAGGGCTATAGATGGCACCTCCACAAACAAGCCGAGTACAGAGATCACGGAAGCTGACCTCAGAAAGGTACTATAGTATGATTGTGGACCATACATAGTATTATATCATGTTCAACGGAGTTGAATTAAAAAATTCCTTACGATATAAATAGACAACAGTGGTCATATGATTTGCTTCTAGTTTGTAGAGAGTGTGAGGCACGGGGAGGTTGCCATGACGATGGACGCTGAGAGACTGCTGCAGGGATACTACGTGGCTGGGAGGCGAGTTAGATCCACGAGTCTCCACGGTACCCAGTTTCCAATCACTGCAATGTCAACTTTGTGAGTGCTGCCATCTACTGTCACATATAGATAAATTCAAATCCAGATGAGACGGGATACTAGAGAAGCGTTGCCGAAAGGAGATTTGATCCGAAGCGCTCAAGCGCAGATCTTTCGCGCAGTTCCGCGGCAAGGCGCACGCGACCGCGGGAACGTCCTACGACAGTATGCAGCGCTGGCAGCTATGGATCCGTGCGCCGAATGAGATTGGCGCGGCGCACAGATCCAAGCTGCCAGCGAACAGTCCGGACTTTTAGTGGGCGGACACAGAGGGTAGACATTTGGGACGTGAACAGTGTTCACTTGTTATAAAAACTGTAACCGAGTAATCTGTTCGTAACCGAGCTGTGTCACGCCGAAATCACGAAGACTGTCGAAATTCTGACATTCGCGACCTTGCCAGTAATGGAAACGGCTGTCGAATCAGGAAACAACCGGCGCTTTCGCGCCCAACGCTGCCAACGTTTTGCAACGTTCCACTTGGCGAGGCTCGTACGGGAGTTGGAAAGCAGTGCACCGCCTAGCCGCCGCTATAGCCATAGACTGGCTACTCTCGCACCTCTGGGCTTAGCTTAGTAATCAATGGCTAATCGAGAGTGGGAGCGAGTCCTAGGCTATATATAGCCTTTGCACTCGCAACCTCTTGAAAGAGAGTAGGCCTTACTAGAACATTAAAAATTTCGTAGTAAATATATTTCGTATTTAGTTAGCATTATATTTTTTTATGAACGCTTCAAGTGCCTGTGTCTAGTATAGCCTAGGGTATTCTCAACCCTAGCAAAGAGCGTTTTCTTGCTAGTCGTAGTAGTCTGTAGTATCTAGTGGTTCAAGGATAGAGAACATGGTCCCAATATTTATGGGCCCAATGTATGGCATGGGCAAAAAACCAATGTCATTTACATCAATATAAATATATTTATATCAATATATAGGTTAGGGTTATGGTTAGGGTTCGTCATTATTGTAAGTTAATTACTAGTACAGAGTTAGTCATTATTACTTTTATATAGCTCTGCGGTCTGGTAGTTACTAGTACTAGTACTAGTAGTGCTGGTAACTTAGTAGTACTACTACTAGTAGGTATGTAGTAGTAGCTTAGTAGTAATATTGTAACATGTATTGGTAGCAAGTATTCGTAGCCGTAGGTGTGGAATGTAATACAGTCTTAATGGCCGCTAGTGGACATTGTCAGTCTAAACAACTTATCATCAGTGTGTGCTGTACGTGCGGCTTGATCTTGTGCCAGTGGCTGGTACGAGGATATGTGCAATTATCAGTGTAAACAAGATAATCAGTCAGAAGGGCCGTGCCTCTAAAATGGCTGCCGAGATTGAGCTGGGACGGCACGATTCAGATAGGACTGTACGGACTTAATTCGGGAAGTCTCTTTCGCTACTAAAGTTATAGTTAGGTGGGGGTGTCAACTCTGCACGCGGGCAGTTAAAGAAAATTCTTTGCAAATGACTGAGAGAGCCTCGTTCGCGCCATTATGGTAGCGAGTAGTACGAATAGGTCAGGGTGATTAAATAAATTCGAATCGCTTTTTTAGAAAAAAGTAACGCGCACCAAAAAAAGTAGCAATTACGACTTGGATTTATTCTCGCCTCGGCATATCGAAAGGTTTGTGCAGCGCCACAAATCTCAATTTCCGATTACAGGTCATTGGACTACGGGAAATTGTTCTAAATACAGAGCACGAGTTGAATGAAATGGCGCCACCAGCGTGGCGCGAAGCGCGCTTCGCGCAGGTCCGGGCGGCCAGAACGTAAGTAGTGGTTAAGCGACGATAGCAAGAGAGCAGTAGTCGTAAATTAACAGCTTGTACACAGTATGGCAGATAAGGCTATGTGTCCCCCTGACTCTGTTTGAACCTGGCTCGTTTAGCTATTTCTGATAATTTTTATATTACGTATCTATATATATATAATCTATATAGGGTTAGGGTTAGGGTTAGGGTTAGTCAGAAATAGCTAAATGATCCAGGTCAAACAGAGGTCAGGGGGACATAGACCCTACGAGCAACAGTATGGTTGGGGCATCTGTAGTTTTTAATAATATTTTTTTGGCAGTTAAGGTAATATCTGTAGTAGGTAGTGTCTGTAGTAAAATAGGAGTAAATACGAATTACTGTCAGGTAATGTCTACTGGGATATAGTACCAGCAATGATATATAATAGTACCAAGAGCTAATAATACTAAGGTATTATTAGCTCTTGATAGTACCTACAACTACAAATTGTCTGTAGATAGTTACATGAACATCATTTGTTGTCACGTCCCACTCACTATATGTGACTTTGATCAATGTAGGATGTCACTAGCTGAAGCACATGCCAAGCTGAGTCTGAGAAGAGAGGTGGCAATACCCGACGCTGTGATGGCTATCTTACTGTACGAGGAATCCATCACTGCACGATACGGTCGGTATGCACAAGCTGTTAATTGTCACCAAAATAAATGAAGCAAAATCGGTTAAAATAACTCGGAAAATTGAAATTTCTATTTTCCCTTGCAGGCTACTCTGTTCTGAGTGTAAAACCATCGCCTCACTGTAGAGACTCCAATATTGGGGTGTATTTGGGACCAGAAGTAAGTTTTTACAGGACGTGCCGAGTAACGATCGTATATAAGCTATACAAAAACACAACTCTTAGATTTTCGGGCTGATTCATGGCCCGTGAAAAAAGGGCTGGCTAATGAATCCATATGTAAAACGAATTGTCAGAATCTCCATATTAGTTATTGTTGAACCCTTGTGAAATACAGTGAAACGGCTACTCAAGGAAAACAGCAAAAATAACCTTCACGGGCAGGTGGCAGCTTTATAAAGGTGACGCTAGCTTAGGTTTGACCGTATCTTGTTTAATATGCAGAATGACCAGCGGATGCTGCAGTTTCAACAACAGCTCATTGCCTTCATAGCTTCACATGCTGGGGACCTAGAGTTTAGGGAGGAATGATCAGGATTTCACAATATACTGATCTTTCACCATCAGGAGTGATTAAACATGTTTTGCAGCTCGACTAAACATTTTTGTAAGATTATAGGATTAAAATTATAATTATTATCTCAAAATGACCTACAAAAGCGACTACTAGAGTTGTTAATGCATAAGAATATGCACAGTTGTCATACTTTACTAGGTCGTTTTTGGTCCATCAATTGTATGTTTACGTGATAGTGCAATTTGAAAATTTTGATGTCGTTATATATAGTTCTATTTATTTATTAAGTATATTTATTAAAACGATTCTTTTTAACTTTATTAATTAAAAACTTGTTCTGCAGGTTTCCATGTAAACGTCTCTCACCCGATCATGCCTTCATCTGATTATATGCAGGGCCATTGAAGCATTCACTTAGAATCGGGTGCAATGATGAACACCTTTACAGGTGTGCTGTTACTTAACGATGCAATGCTTCACAAAGAACACAACAGATGGCGGTGGCAGTCAGATAATCTATTATTGCCGTGATTTGCTTACCAAGCTAAGCATTACCAGTACATTCATTCAGGCAGCACTATACGCACGCATAGCTGTATAAGCACTCACTCACACGGGCGGCCTCAGCCAACCCTGAACATCTCACCGCCCCACAACCCCTAATCCCGCATGTGATACATTCATACATTCAAAGATAGGCAGCATGCCGAGTGGCAAAACCTAACCTTGTATAATATAACTGTCTTGTAAGACCTATTTAGCTTCTACCCAGTTATAAACATGAAGAAAGTTGGTGATTCAGACAGGCGTGACTTCCAACAAATTGGAAGCTACAACATGCATGTATTACTATCTGTGCTTGCTAATCAAGCATAAAGACGTATTTAATATAGGATAACAGATTTTTAACAGTATCGTACCCACCGATGCCTATTCATAAATGTTTTGAAACAAATATTAACAATCAACTTATAACATCATTTCACACTCAGTAGTAATCCTGATGTACAGTCTTTACACAGTATAACTATGGTGACTGGCATACACAAAAATAATGAGCACATTAACATTGTTAATAGTTAAATTATAGTTAACAATGATAATAAGCTCTTAATAAAATCAAATGAAAGAAGGTAAGTAAATATAAATAAAGTACCACTTGAGCAATATAACAATATGAAAATCCATTGGAACTAACGAGGATATTTGTGTTTGTGTAAACATTTCGAATGATTTAATTGGGAACGAATTTATATTTCATTCAAATTAACATGGTGGGGCAATATTGACGAAATGTTAAAGGAAATTAATTAAGGAACTAATACTAATAAGTCACACAATTGAGGATAGAGCTAGATTATTAAATTACCAAATTTATTCTTGTGGCCATGGAATCAAGACTATAAATGCAAGTCATACAGTATCCTAAATTACGCATCACAGTCGATCTACAATTATAGCAGGCCCGTAGCCAGCTTTCTATTGGGGGGGGGTTCGTTTTTCAATATTGGCAATTTGCTCGGCAGGGGCGTGTACAGGATTTGTACCAGGGGGGGTCTAACCGTAACCCAAAGTTGCGAGCACGCGAAAAGGGGGTCTGGGGGGCACTCCCCCAG